GGAGTGAGACATCCCTGCTGGGCAACATTCAATTCTCTGAAGAATGAGACCCAGTCTCTTTGGGCTTTGGTCTATCAGAAGAACCTGATCAGATCTACAGGAACCAAACTTCAGGACAATCATCTGAGCAGCTGATTTTTACAAAGTTTGAGAGAAAGAATAGTGCATATTCAGAAATAATCCACCATTTTAAATCTAAAGTCAATATTTCAGGCTGCTTGTTTCCAAAAGGAAGAACTCCTGTTAGGATCCGGAACATCCAGGATGGTGAAGATATTCCCAAGGACACGTGGAAACAGGACAGACAATCTAGATGGGAAGTGTGTGGAGATAGCCCTACAGGCTAAAAAAAACAATCTTCATTACAAAGATAAAGAGGACAAATAAGGTTAAAGCAACATATTCTCTTAATTTATGTCACCGGCGTTTAGAAAGAGCAGGAAAAGACAACAAAGAAAAGATCTAAAGTGGAGCATAAAATCTACTAGGGGTGTAAATCACACCCATCATGACGATTCGATTCAGTATCAGTTTCCTGACCCAATGATTCGATTATTTTCAATACTCAAGAATAAACCATGATACGATACGATTTTTGGTCAATTTTTTTTTCTGCCTTACAGGCTAGATTTGAAATTTTAAATAAATCAATGAAAACTGTAATATCCTTATGCGTTTTATTTGAAAAACAGCAATTAACAGAAATACTTCCACACAAATAACCTGCGAGGGGTGTGTAAGTCATCCTCTTTTTTCTCCGCCATGTCTGTCTTGCCTGCTCTTTATGCGAGTGTGTGTGCAAGCGGAAAGAGTGGCTAAAGGAAGCGAGGTAGGAAGGCAAAACAGGTTTAGCACCACCGCAGCACGGGAGTCAGAATTACGACCAGGAGCAAATGGATAAAAATGGACGGAGGAAAAAAAAAAAACATGAATCGATGCTCTCGCGAATGATGTCGATGTTGGATCGATGCATCAATACAAAAGGATTATTATTTCCACCCCTAAAATTTTCTAACCAGGGTTATTCCCTTTCGTCTCTTCTCTTTCTTATTCACCCTGATGAGCAGAGTTCAGCTTGTGCTGCGATGGAAGAAGCATCTAAAATGATGGATCATCAAAGGTTTCTAAAGTTTTCACATCTGTTCTGTTCTAGAAGCCCAATTTATTCTCAAATCTGGTTATTCTGGCGTGCTTCAGTGGCGCAGTGGTTAGTGCACATGACACATGTAAGGAGGCCTTAGTCCTTGACGTGGCCGACCCAGGTTCCAATTTGACCTGTGATCCCTTGCTGCATGTCTCTCCCCCCATTTCCTGTCAGCTTAATGTCCAAAAACAAGTCACTAGTGCTGTAAAAACAAACAAAAAAACTCAGGTTAGTCCTGTCCTGATGCAGTTAATTATTCTCACCCCCGCTCATCAACTCTCCCAGTATTTCCTCCATCCTTTTTAATGTGCCTTTTGGAGGCACATTAGGTAAAGCGTATATAATAACTCAGCCACATGGCAACAACCAACGCTTTGATAAGATGTATGAAATACAAGTAATGTCTGCCCTGAATGTCATGCAGATCTTTAAAACAGTGGTGCAGAAATTCAGTCCTAAGTTCTGCAAACTGCCGCGTTGAAATTGCATTTCGAGAAAGAAAAACAACAGCGGATTACAAAGATAAGCTGAGCTGAAAGGAACAAGGAACTAGCAGCTTCATGGAATCTAGTGGAGAAGAAAGGTACAATATTTTTAGAATATTAAAGCATAGAATCTATGTTGATGAAATGAAGCAAAGGTGGCAACGAATACAGCATTTTC